ATTAGGACCCTAGGTCCCTATCCAACCTTTAACTAAAGTATTATAGCCGTATCAGATGCTTCTTTTCCTATATTTATCTTTCCCTTGTCACGTTGAAAATTTTCTCTGATCCTAATCTTAGATACCTTTTCTCTGTTTTGGCCTCACTAGTTTCAAAATGCAAATTATTAGATATTAGGTACAACGATAGTTTATCATTATTATTATTTTTGAAAAATATTGAACTATCCTTTTGTCTAATATCTAATTTAGATATTAGATACAAGGATAGTTTAGTGAGGTGGCAAAACTAAGTAATAGGTGGCAATGCTAAATAAAACAAAATAAAAAAAAATCCTTAACGAGGAATCAAAATCTTTAGTGTGCTGGAATGAGCTTCACCAAAATCAATGGTGTAGATATGGACATCAGCAAAGGCAATAGTGTTGAGATGGACATCAACGAATTAAAACAGTGTTGGGATGAATATCAGCTAAATAAAATGGTGCCGGAATGGACATCGGCAATAATGCTGGAATAACAGCAATATAAGAAATCCAATAACATGACTAAAATGGCCAGAATACAAACCACAAGCCAACGATAGTACATAAAAAAAATTACAGAAAAAAAAATCCATGAATAAAATCCATCCAAAACTACAATGATGTATTGCAATAAAATTCATAAGCTCCATGAATCTTCAGAAACCTGCAAAATAAGAAAAAGAACAAAAGAGATAATATGAAAAACTGAGAATAGAGAAAAGAAAAATGCAAGGAAATGAAGGAATACATGCTGGTTAATATGAAATTATATGGTAGGTAATCACATATATTGATTCCAACACAGTACATATTAGTAGTACTTGAGAGTTTTCAAATCCCCCCGCGAAACAGAATCACTTCAAATTTTGAAGCAGAATACGGAGCTGAGACTAATGTAAGAGAAGAGAGTCAGTCAGGAATAATGTAAAGGGGGAATCTGGCAAGTTTTGAACAGAAACTGAATCTAGCTCTGAAGATGACATCATGTGTTCAATTAAAAATAATTTTTGTCATGATATATTGAATGTTCATATTTCATAATGCACAATGCAAATCTATATAACGGATAACATGTTTATTTATTGAGAAATTGGTAGAAATTATTAGTTTAATGCACGACCATGTACTCAAGTCAGTCACCATCCCATATGGAATAATTTGAAGTTGTAGAAATTAAGGTTGGTACTAGAGTAGAGAGGCATCTCTTCTCAAAAATTTCTCCGAGATGTATAATTAGTCATACATTTGCCTCACTTGAGATTTGCTCACAGTACCAATTAAATGCAAATAATTAATTAGCTTAGGCGGAATCATATACCTTTATCATTAAGCATAAAAAGTTTTTTTATTTTTTTCTTCATGAGATTTAGTAATATGTTCTTCACAATTGGAAAGTAGTCACACAAAAGTTGATTGCATGAATTTAAGTAATGTGTTGGTGAAAGTTCATAAAATCTTTCTAAACAAGTTGAGTATATCAATGTTATTTAATTTGCAGGCCAGAGATGGGAGAAGTTGAACATTGGGCTTCTTAATTTGCAGCTAATTTATTTTGAAGCCAGATAATTGGGACCACTCTAGAACCTGTCACGTTTGAAAAGGACACTAAATTGAACTACCACTACCCATCTATGAGAGGAGTATAAGAAACCAATTTCGAATCTATATAGATAATAGAAACATTTGAAAACAAGGGCTTGTGGTCCCTTTTACATGATGGTCACCAGTAGTAAGGTCATCCAAAATCTAAGTGATGGAAGATTTTACTTAACTATTGTAGAGCCTGACAATGAGTGGGTAATTTTCTCAGCAGCTTCACCTGTCGGCAAAGCAGCACACACTTTGTGGCCACATGGTGTATACAAGTTAAGCGACTGAAGGGGTCCATTTTTGTGTCTGAGATAATTGATGACTCATTTTAAGTTCAACACATGGGTTAATGCAGATATCAATTATGTTTGTAACTGAATTGGATTGGGGCAGGGTCAAAGGAACTGAGGTGATTTAAATACTCTAGTTCATCCAGTTAGTGAAAGACATTGAATGACATTGTATTTTGTTAGGTATTGTAAGAGATGAATGGTTCATAGATTGGAGAAGAAGCTTAAAATCAGTAGGTGAGTGAATTAGGAGGTCATTTTTTACATCAATGCTCTGCCACAAATCAACACCCAGTCAAATATTTGGCTCTGTTGTTAGTGCAGCAAATATAATGGCGTCCTATTGATTAGGTGTTCCATTATTCATTTCTTATTTCCAATTGGTGGATGACGTACTAAAATGAAAATTTCTGCCCTTTGATTTCTTTTTCTTTTTTTATTAATTCAGTTTTTACAGCTAAAATACTATTATTTTTTACTAGAAAGATTATATTTACAACTTATTTTCGTTTATAATTTTTTACAATTATATCTTAACTGTTCATTTTTTTCAATCTAACGGTTATAATTTATTAGGTTATATTTATTAATTAATTATTAATTCTCAATAAATTATAATCGTCAGAGTAACGAAAATCAACGATTAAAATATGATTGTAAAAAAGTTATAAACAAAAATAGGTTATAAATATATCCTTTCTCGTTCTCTTAATGTTATATCTTGTGTATTTTCTCATTTTCTTTTTACGTACGGGCTTTGAGTTAATTTTTGTGTTAACTAAGATTAAGTCTGTCTAAATGATTTTATACTTCGGCCTCGTTCAATTAAGAGATAACTCGTAGGAGCCGGCTCAAGACTGGAACCTTGATTTTTTACTCCGATCATTTTATTTATCTCAACGTCAAACAGTAGAACTTTTGTAGCTATCCTTAATTTGGTAACTGTCGGTCTTCTTGGTTTTGCATCTACCCTTTAAGGGAATTTTTCCACTGCTTTCGACTACCCTTTATTCGATCTATCCATTGATCGTTTATTTCACAAAGCATTGTCTTGCTTTCTCCTTATGGATATATGAATAAACTACTTCCAATGTTTTGAACCTTTATTCAGAAGAAAGGGTGGGTTGGGGTTTGTTGGAGATTGAGTGATTGAGTGTATGTGGGGTATAAGGTTCCCACATTAGATAGTGTTTTATATATGCTCCGATCCAAGAATGTCCCATTTTCCATCATTATAAACCCTTTTTCAACCTGTTTGAATACTGTTTCAAAAATTAATTTTTTTAATTTTCAGAATAAAAAAAATTATTTGATAAAATTTGTTTTGTAAAAAAATTTAAAAATTATAACTTTTTTGTTTTGTTTTTAGAATCAAATTTAGAGAATATGTGTGAATTGTTTTTGTTTTATGTTTTAACTTTTAACTTTCAAAAAAAAAAAACACAAAAAAACATTTATTTTCATAATTATTCTGCAAAATAGTTTTAAGAAAAAAGAGAAAGAAAACATAATCCAACTGACGAGTTACTACAAATGTTTTGACTTTTGAACTTCTATACCTGTATTGAATTAGACCACTTTGATAGAGATTCTCTTATCATATCATGATTTAACTTTTCAAAAATTTAAATTACTAAATAAAGACATATGAATAATTTTATAATTTATTTCTGGTATATGTTAATAAGAAAGTCATTTGAATTATAGTTACATCTCAAAAAATATTTTATTTTTATTACTGAAATAAAATTTATTCTTCTAATCTAATTTTAAAATTTTTATTTCTAAACGTAAATTATTTTTAAAAAAATTATTTTAACATCAATATTTTTTTAAAATTAGTTCTATTTAATTGACACCAAACATACCCTTATTCATATTTAGATCTAGATAATCACAATATGACGTCATTAGACGCAAAGGTTTGAGGTTTGTAGGGACACCCCATGAGAGAGAGAGAGAGAGAGAGAGAGAGGGGGGGATGTCAAGGCTTAATAATTTCACATTTCACACCAATACTTATTATAATGGAAGCAGTGGTAATTTCAAATCAAAATCTTGACTAGAAGGGGGTGTACGTACTTCCAACATTTGGCACGATCCGAAAAATAAAATAAAAGAAAAAACAAAACAAAACCTTATGGGAGGATTCATTGTTCTTATTATATATATACAGTCTCTTTCTTACCGTTAGAACACGTTTCGATCTCTCCAATTATACATTCAATTCAAAGGTTAACAAAAGGTCAATCAAAACAAATCTGAAAATCATAAATTTTCAGAATTGATACTTGATAAGGCTGTAAACAAGTCAATAGGGTAATGAGTCGAACCCGTACGTACAACAAAGTATATTTTTTAATACTATTAAATAAATTTCCACAATCACCAAAAAATGAAATTCCATTTAAGCTGCCACTAGTTCCATTTAAGCCTTATAATAGGGACGTTTACGTGATAGTTTTTAAAACGGCAAGGTTGTAGCAATATTATTGCAGATCCCTAATACATTATTACCATGCATTGATTTCCACAAGATATTGTAAGAATCACCTCAGGATTATGATATGCAAAAATAGCTAACAAATGAGGTGCGTGGTCTCATTCGTCATCTTCCTCAATTCTTAATCTCTTTACCCATTTCAGTTCCCAATAACCAGCAGGGTTGGTTCTCTCCCATCAGGCTTGGGAGTGAGTGCAATAAAGATATAATATACCCGTAAAGAGAGAGAGTAATTCTCTTCTTAAAAGGTTAAAAAAATTTAAACATGCAAAAGGACAAAAAATAGAAAAAGAAAAAGAAACACCACCAGCATTTACATCACTACAAATTCAATTGTACTTTGATTCCCTACATAAAATGAGACCGTTTTATGCTTCAAGGATCCGCTTTTCTCGCTTCTTCACCTACATATCCCCCCACACAAGCTTTTCTCACCCTCTCTAACTCTCTCTCTCTCTCTCTCTCTCTCTCTCTTGATCTGAGACTACTGCTGAGTCATTTTCATTATTCTGAGTATCACTTTGAAAAGCCCTTTCCATAATATCCTTCTTGTTTCGAAAGTTCAGCAAAAGGCTAAAGTTTATACCAATTATGGTTAAGGATTGGTATTGGGCAGGAAGGTCCTCCAAGAGAGGTGAAGGAGCTGAAACAGAAATCCCTTCTGGTTGCATGTGTGTTGTCTTTCAGGCTTTTGATTTTCATCCATTTAACTTTTCCATAAACCAGCAACAATCCTCTTTCAAGTCTTCCTCTCGAATCCCACAAGACCAGTGTGTCCCCAAAGGTACTTTCTCTCATACTATATGGTCTATAGCTACCTCTCTTTTCTTATTCTTGGAACTATGATTTATTGTTTTGTATAATTCAGGAGCTGAAGCACCCAGGAATAGCTTGGAATCAGAGGATGGTACAGTGTCATCTATCTCAAAAGAAGACAATTTAAACATTCCGGTAATTAAGTTGATTAACTTGTACCTGACACAGTACCTCCAACTTTTCACCAATTTTTTTATGAGTTCCACCCACTACTATTTGGTTGTTTATTCTGTAAAGCGAGTAATGATGATGATTTTGATCTCTTGACTAATTTGTTGATTTTGAAAATCCAGAAGAATATACGAATCAAAACCAGTGGAACCACAAGATCAAGAAGTTTTAATGATTTTTCCTCAGAAATTAGTGGCTCTCCAGGGACCAAGACACCGACTTTGGTTGCAAGATTAATGGGTCTTGATCTTCTTCCTGATTCACATTCTTCCTCATCTCTTTCCACTCCAAACCGACAAGGCCATCCACATCAACACCACAAGAGACCAAGGCAACACATCCAAATAATAAAGCACAGAAACAGCACAGATAGTGACAATGTAGCCATTCGCTCATTGCCTGAGACTCCTAGAATTTCTTCCGCAAGAAGATCAGATGTTGAGCATAGACTATCTCTCCAAATCAACAAGGAAAACATGGGCTTTGGTGAGGATTTGGAGGTTCCTCGGCTTTCATTTTCAAAAAGGAAATATGATGAGAACAATAGCAGAAGTCCAAGCCACTATGCCAGGCAAATTATTAAACATGTTAAAGAAAGTGTAAGCAGGAAAGTTGGGCTTGACATAACCAACACTGTCAAAAACAGAGAGCAAGGAAGAGAAGAATTTGTTGGCCAATTCAAAATCAAGAAACCTCCCAAGACATCAGTGAAATCATTAGATGAATCCAGCCCAGGAAAGCACTCAAACCAATCTTACTCCCCAAGACTCAGCAGATTCATTGATACCAAAGACAAACCAAGTACAAAACCATCACCAATTACCCCAAAAGATCAAAACACACACCCAGTACTAAAACCACCATCACCACCACCTGTAATCAACATTGAAACACAGCTTTCAAGAGTTTCAACAAAACCAAAGCCTCAAGCATTGCCCGAGAAAGAGTTGCAGAACCAAAAATCAGTCCCAAAATGCAAGAAAACCACCCATGAAAAAGTGAGTTCACGGCTTAACAAGCCTCCACAGGCATCAATCAGAAACAAGCAAGATGAGTCATTTATTATCCGTCCCCCATCAGCCGCCAGAGCCAATGACAACAAAACCAAAAGCAAGAGAACTCATCCACTTTCAACCAATCTTCTCAATAACCTCAACACGGTTCCAAATCTTCTCCCTCTCAAGACAGGCCCTTCTCCTCCACCAACCAAAATTCCTCAAAAACAGGTACCCATTAATTAATTTGCAACTGTTTCAATCTTCACTTTTTTGCTGATAGTAAAAAATCTCTGCTTTTTTACAATACACTCTTTCTTTCTCAACTTCAATATTGGTGATTACAAACACTACATATATTCTCTGTTTTTGACTATTTGAACTGATTTTTGCGTGTGTATTACGATTTTTATATATATAAAAAAAAAAATCAGTTACTGGTATCAGATGATAGCCAAGAAGCAAAACACAGCACACAGTTATTTAGTTGTTCGCGCCAGACGTACAAACAAGAAGTGACGCACACACTCGCCACCCGAGGAACCAACGATGAAGACAAATCTAACGTTTCCTTCACCACCATCGGAGCAGAAGATGAAGGGCCGGAATTTCAGTACATCACAACCATTCTAAGCCGTACTGGAGTACACAAAGCCACAGTACCCCATCTCAATTTTCAATGGTTCTCTCCTACCCATCCATTGGACCCTTCAGTTTTTCACCTTCTTGAGCACTGCCCAACATCCAATCCCTTTGTTTCTTTCCCCGACAACAATAAAGATGGCAACTTTACGCAGAAAAGCCATCTGGGTCCACGTTGCAACCGTAGATTACTGTTCGATTTGGTCGATGAAGTGTTGTCGGAGATTCTTGTCCGGCCAAAGTGTTACCGTGGGTTGTTGTTGGAGACGGTGTGGAAGAGGGTTCGGAGTTTTCCACGTGCGAAATGCGAGGTTCAGGAAGACATTGATGGGTTGATAGAGATGGAGGACATGCAGGAGAAGATGAAGGAAGAAAGAGAAGAAGGGTTGGTGGCGGAGATCGAACGGAACATATTGGAGTCGTTGGTGCATGAAACGTTTACCGTTATGGTTGGTGGCGTGGTGGAAGGGTAGGTCCGTACATAGAAAACGGCGTCGTTTGGAAGGGCATGGTGGATGGGGAAGACATGAAACAGAGGGTGTCACATGGCTATGGAAGCCGCAGTGGTGGGTCCCTCTTTGAACCCATGAAGGCTCACACGTGATTTTTTTAAAACTCTAGATTTTGCAGAGGAATCTATGCCCTACGCTTATCTCTTCCAAGTTCTGTACATCTTAAAAAAAAAAAAAAAAAAAATATCATTTTCTTGTTTATATTTAGTTTATAGCTTGAGGAAATTTAACAAAGTTAATGTCTATTTCAATTTTTTAGTATTATTATTTCGGGAAAGGATCTGTTTACAAATTTTTTTTATAAATTTTTGCAAATTACATTATGTATTTCTGAAAGAATATAATGTAGTTTGTAAACAAAAAATTTGTAAATATAATCATTCCCTAATATTTCTATTCTTCTATTTTCTAACGGTTGTACAGTCCTATGTTGATCAAAAATGATTCTCTTTAATATAGGTGAGAAGAGTGAGTAATTTAAATTATTTAATATATCTTAAGCTTTTTAACACACACACACACATATATATATATATATATATATATATATATATAAAAGATCTAACTAAGAATAATAAAACTAGCATTGTTGTAATACTATTTGCATACGATTAGATGAATAGTGCAATTATAAAAATTTATTGTTAAAATGTTACATTCTTAGGGTTAAAAATAAACTTAAAAAGTGCGGTTATATATAAACTATTTGTTGGGAAACTAATATTAAGGCATTGGGCTTATATATGAAATAGCTTTTTCAAGTATTGAAGGGTTACCAATCTAAGAGTAGATCAATTAGCAGTCAGGGGAGTCCAAGAAATTTGACACTACATGTTAACCCAAAAAATTAAGATATTGAATTTATAGTTTTTTTAATTATTTTTTTATTTTGGTATAATGGATCTTTTTACTTATATGTGTTATGCTTAACTCATTATTTCCCGATGCTGGACATTTTTTTCACTCGCACTTGAATTCCCAACACTAATCAAATGGAGGTAATTATGTAAACATATAGGATTATTTCAGTGATAAACAATATTTGAAGTCAATTGTTAAAACTTGTGATGCCTTTGCAGTTGTGAAAAGTTTAAATCCGCAATATATATATATATATATATATATATATATATATATATATATATATATATATATATATATATATATATATAAAGACGATCTTAGTATCCCAAAATCTTAGAGGCAATGTAAAATTTAACTTTTGCATTTTTTTATTCCCATATAAATTATAATTTTATCATTGCGGATCTCCAATATCAACTAAGGTAAAGAGTTACATTGGGTGACTACGAAAAACAAAGATACTGTTCTCGTACCTAAAAAAGAAAACGGCAAGATTATAAAGAGAATCATCACTTTTTGAACTAGGATAAGAAGTGGAATATGCTCAGTCAGCTCAGAGAATCATATTCCATTTGGTTCTTACTTCATGGAAGTTTGAGATTGTAATCTAGCGCAAGATTACAATTGAATTTTTTATTTATTTTAAAAGGGGATGATTTTGCATGAAAACGTGAACTTCAATGCGACCTTTTATCTTTGTAGTACAAAATGAAGTGTTGAAAATGAAACCCAAAACAACCACCTTTTTTTTTCTTTTTGGTTATGATGAAACTCAATCATCAAAAACAAAAGAAAAAGCATGAAACTTCACTTCCAAGTTTAAAATGTTAAAGTACTTCTGTCCAAAAGCTAGAATAATATACGCAAAGATTCCTACCTTTTTTTCATTTTTTCAAACCAATACTTACTGATACTAGAGTACGCTTACAATTACAAGTTATAATGTGAGAAAAAGAAAGATAAATGATTGAGAGTTTTTGTTTTTGTTTTTTTTTTTCAATTTATGTGTTTCATTTAATATTTTCAATAACATGAATGTTGTGCAGCCAGTGGCGGAGCCACTCCTATGCCAGCAGGTGCCAAGGCACCTGCTTGGTTTTAAAAAAAATTATTTATTATATGTAAATATATAATTAATTATAATTAACAAAGATTAAATTTAAAATTTGGCACCACCTAAATAAATATAATTATATTTATGTTTTTCAATCAGAAAAATAAAACTCAATACCAAAATCCTTTTACCTGACCCATAAATTAAAATCACTTTCAAAGTTCTAATTTGTGACTTACAATTGCAATCAGATTTCTCTCTCTTGCTCCTTTTTTCATCTGACTTGTTACACAACTTGCTAGCTCTGCGAAACTTTGATTAAAATAGCAATGGTTTACGAAATGAAAAGATGGAAGAATCAAACAAAAATATATTTTATAAATAGAAAAGTATAATGAAGGAGAATCCCTTTGACTCTAAATGTTGTCTGTATGCTTTAATTTATAGTTAATATCTCAATTATAAAGTGAAATTTACAGAAAAGTATTATATTTGTGTGTTTTCATATCCTTATGACAATGCTTGGTTTATTACTTATCATGCTATGGGAGGAAAGTGAAATTTTTATGTTTGAAATGCTTACCCAAAAGGTTAGTGTCTTTTTATATGTTTGCTTTGATATATAATCATTTAGAAAAATATTTCTGCACTTAATGCATATAAGTTATCTGCATTTACTCTCAAAATAACGTCGTTTTGGGATTGAAAAATTAAATAATTATAATTATAAAGACTATAATAATCCTAGAATAATCCTAGAATAAATTAAAATTACAAAAACACCATGATTTCCGTCCGAAAAGGACGTCGTATTGGGTTTACTGCAGATAACTTATCTACAATGACTACAGAAAAAGTGAACCCATAATCATTAACGATTGTTCATTTGAATTTTCAATGTTATCTGATATTATTTAATACATAATTTAAATAACTATGCTAGAATTCATAATAATTTTTTTTTATTATTTTGTATAATTATGATAAATATCTTGATAATTTAATATGTTAAAAAATTTTGACACTACCTAAACTTTTGGTCTGACTACGCCACTGTGTGCAGCAAAGCAACATGATATGGCAGCTGAAAACTAAATTATTATTAAACCACAAAGAAAATAAGCGGGAAATTCAAACAGCAATACAATAAATACATAATTAATAGGTGACATGTGGGTTTAACTATGTCTGATAAAAAAAAATGAAAACAGGTAAACAGATTGAGACTGGGAGATGGATGGCTCTGTCCAATTTAATGTTTAGCTGTTTATAGTAACACTTGGTTCGCTTACAGATCTGTTTGTTTCTGCGTGTCATTCAAGAGTTTGTGATCTAAGTTGGTGATTCTTTAGGTAACTGCACTATCAACTATTTTCACATCATGAACTGAACTTTGCTGAGATGATTGATGATTGTGCATTCAATACAAATGAGTCATTGACTGTGAGAAAAGGCTCACATAGGAAAAGCTGACACCCATTTAACATTAAAAGAGAAAATAAAATAAAAAGTGCAATGGTCAATCTTTTTGATAAGGGAAAATGAAATTTATTTATCAGTACCCAAAATTTTAACACTGGTCCGAACCCCAGACAAAAAAAGGGGGGGCTTGGGGGTGAAACTTTCCAAATTTTTTGAAAACATAAATTGCAACAATATAACTTATAAAATGTGTATAAACTGTTACTGAGGCTCTATCTATAAGTTTAAAGACCCTTATTTAAGATAACGATATTATTTTGTTGGGTTTTATAAGAGTTATATTGTAAGAAAATTGTGTAATGTTATAGAGATTCATTTTGCGTGTCATAGTTTTTTTTTTTTTTTTTGCTTCAAAAAGTGCGGACCCCACAAAATGTTGTGTGTGTGTAAGAAACTTTTTTGTATCATGTGACATGATAGATGCAAACCCCTATTTTGTTATGGGAAAAAAGTTTCCGATGTTACTTTAGATAACTTTATCTAATGTTCATCGAAACGACGTCGTTTTGGGGTTGAAAAATTAAAAAAATAGAGTGATAAAGACTATTATAATCGTGAAATAAATTAAAATTACAAAAATACCATGATTTCCGTCCCAAAACGACGTCGTTTTGATAAACATTAGATAAAGTTATATAAAGTAACATCAGAAAAAACAAACCCTTTTGTTATTGCCAAAATGTTTCATCCTTTGTTTGTATTTTAGATAGAATATAAAGTTTGGATAATAATATGATTTTATAAAACTCATATTACGTTCTCCAACATTCATTAATGTTGATGAGTTAATAGTGTTTGGGGATCACACTTATTCAAACAATAATGAGCAAGGAATTAATTAATTATAAATATTTATAATCAAATGGTATCCTTATTCTGTGGAAATATCACAACAATGCAACTCTAAATGGAAACACTTCCATGTGCAAAACTTTTCAACTCTCCAGATGTGGCTGAACAGTTAAGTGACAATTTGGAACTTACACACACGCAAAGTATGTATACAAGGGTGATTTGAGATAAAAGATTCATTGACTTTAATGTGAGATCGAATTGAACTAAAATTTTAAACTGTAAATTATCCGTTTTAACTTTAATTTTTTTTAAAAAAAAAATGAGGGAGAACCCATGATGAGGTGTTACTTGGGAGAAGCTCACAAGAGACTTCAACAGATGGAGCTCAATGTCTGATCACGCACACTCATACTGTATATTCCGTAACTCTACCAAATTAGTTTTTTCGAGAAGAGAACTTACCTACTCAATTTTTAAGCATTTAAAAATTCACATTTTTATTTATTTTTTCGTAAAATTGTAAACAATAAACATTTCATTATGGTTTTTCTTTCTTCCAACTAAATACAACGCTATTTGTTCATACCAAAAAAAAAAATACAACGCTATTTATAAAGGAAGAAAAGATAAAAAAGCATATATCTCTCCGATAGTAATGAACTTAATAGATTTCTTTCTTTTTAATCAAAATAACCATGCACACAGCACATTCCATCTTCTTCTTTTTTGGCATATCTTTTTTAAAAAATAAAAAATAACCATACTATTTATGCATTAAAAATAAGCATTTTAATATTCTATACAATTCTTGAATGAAAATGATATGTACCCTCACAACGGAAACCATCCCAATTTTATAACATGTATATAAAAAAAGAAAAAAGAGAGGACATAATTAGAATTTACCTTTTTCTTTTCCTCTTTTAAAAACCGTAAATCCTAGCCCCTTTTTTTATAAGGAATATTACTCTCATGTTACATGAGAGTAGTTCTCTCATGCTATAGAGAGAATCCAAGTAATATCCACCATTAAAAAACAAAACAAAAAAAAGAGGGGGAGCAATTTTCGAAGTGAGAGAACATGAGATAACTATCTTATGTAAAATGAGAGTAGTATTTCTCTTCTTTTATTTTAGTTTGAGATTTTAAATTAATCTAGGGTTCGCTTTTTCTGCAGTTACTACAAATAAGTTATCTGCAGTAAGCCAATACGACGTCGTTTTGGGACAAAAATCATGGTGTTTTTGTAATTTTCGTCGGGACAGAAATCATGGTATTTTTGTAATTTTCGTCGTTTTGGGACAGAAATCGTGGTGTTTTTGTAATTTTAATTTATTTTAGGGTTATAATAGTCTTTATGTTTATAATTTTTTAAGATTTCTGTAAATCCCGACCGCTTCAAGAATCAATGACTATCCCCACATACTAACACGAGACTTTTCAGTGTGCTTTTTTCTCACTCACACACTTCCTGGAAAACTTCCCAGGAGGTCACCCATCCCAGAATTGCTCCAAGTCAAGCACGCTTAACTGTGGAGTTCTTTCGATCCGGGCTACCGAAAAGCAGATGCATCTTGTTAGCATAGGTAGTACCAATTAATTCTTATAAGCTGCTTAACTGTGGAGTTCTTCTGATCCGGGCTACCGAAAAGCAGATGCATCTTATTAGCATAGGTAGTACCAATTAATTCTTATAAGCTATCACAAACTGTGTAGTCTCATACCTGCACAGTATTTGGAATCCCTCTCTTTCGGGTGTTGATTCGATTCATTCATGCATGTAACCCCCCGCTGGAAGCCTGTCAGGAGCCGCTCCTTGTCCGTGCCTCTTTGCTCCGGCGATCACTCCCCGCCCTCGTCAGCGCTCCAGATGTTACATGCCCACCAGCTTCCGCCTGGTTCGTCCTCGAACCACACCGTACTGTTGGATGAGAGGTCCTGCTCTGATACCACTTGTAACGCCCGACCGCTTCAAGAATCAATGACTATCCCCACATACTAACACGAGACTTTTCAGTGTGTTTTTTCCTCACTCGCACACTTCCTGGGAAAACTTCCCAGGAGGTCACCCATCCCAGAATTGCTCCAAGTCAAGCACGCTTAACTGTGGAGTTCTTCCGATCCGGGCTACCGAAAAGCAGATGCATCTTATTAGCATAGGTAGTACCAATTAATTCTTATAATTAAGCTATCCCAAACTGTGCAATCTCATACCTGCACAGTCTTTGGAATCCCTCTCTTTCGGGTGTTGATTCGATTCATTCATGCATGTAACCCCCCGCTGGAAGCCTTTCAGGAGCCGCTCCTTGTCCGTGCCTCTTTGCACCGGCGTTCACTCCCCGTCCTCGTCAGCGCTCCAGATGTTACAATTTCAATATCAAAACGACGTCGTTTTGAAAAAAATGCAGATAACTTATCTGCAGAAACATTTTTCCCATTAACCTATTATAATACAACCTTACTTCTTTGTTAGGAAGTTTTAATTGGGAAAATAACATATAAACATATTGATATGTTCGGTACTAATAATTTTAAGAGATATTAATAAAAAATTATTAAATTACTAAAATTTAAAGTTTAAGCGTGAATATAGTCAAAATTCAAACTTTAATAGGTAAATTGCAAAAAAATCTAAAGTTGAAACGGATAAATTGTAATTTGGTATCACATAAATTATACAACTACCTTGCTGTGATGCTTTAAACATAAGAAATTATTAAAAAAGAATACATTTTTAATTTATATAATAGTTATCAATGAAAATATTATGATTCAAGGATGAAAAGGATTAAAAGAAAAAATGGTTTAAATAAGATTTTATTTCTAATAAGTTTCATTAATTTGAATATTTATTTTATATTTTTAAATATTTTTTTCTATTTTTTTCGTTTATTTTATTTTTGGCCCTTACTGCTAAGATATTAGTAATCTTGTATATTTTTATAATTCATTTAATTTCTAGTCCTTATGATTTTTATTTATTATACCGTTGGTCCGTATTATCTATGAAATATTGGTTCTATAGTTTTTATTTATTAAAATATTCATTTTTGAAGAACCATAACTCACATAAATAAAAATATAATGATTAGAGTACCAAAAAATATTTACATATATATACATATAATGATTACTATAAAAATACAAAAAATAAAATTCAAATAAATGAAAAATTATAAAAACCAATAATCTTATGTCTAAACTACTTTATCCCAGTACTGGAGGACTTCTCTAATGCGGCATAAATTCATCGAGGATTGCGCTATGAAGCAACCCTGAAGGAGTGACTGAGCCAGTACAAACAGAGGTACCATATCAAATAACTACTCCTAATTTCTAGACTGTGACATTGCTACTACAAGTAGAGGTACTATCAAATAACTCCTAAACAACTACAAGTAGAGGTACTATCAAATAACTCCTAAACAGGGACTCTGCTATTACAAGTAGTAGAGGTATTATGGCTGCAAGTGCAGACTGATACTGAGTCACTTGGATTTTAATACAGTACTTGCTGCCAGACACTCTTAATTGCAAGAAACAGAGTAGCAATGGGGAGTTAATTCTTCTGAGAACGAAACGGAATGGAAATTTTGATGATACAAAAAGCTTTTGTCCCAGTCCCACCACCATTTGGTACTTGGCAGAATTGCAGAGCTATTTTCAGTGTGCTTGTCGTCTTCTTCTTTCTTCTTCCTCTTCTTAGAACCCCCAAGAATTCCAATCAAACCATGATGCTTGCTAAGTTGCCTACAATTTCAGCTTCATGACAAATGCTTCTAAAACCACTGTTCTTCGCTTCGATAGTAAATTCGCTATACGAGAATAATCATTATTTTCCACACGTATATGGCACATATGAGAATTATGCACATTTGTAACTTCAAGGTTTGAACATTGAAGCAGTCCTAATAGTTATATGTTTTCTATTCAACGTTTACTTTTTATCCATGTTTCCTTTAGGACTTCACAAAATAAAAATATTTCCTAATCCTATGTTTCGTTGCTTTGCTTTGTTTAACGTATCTATATTTATTTTCGTTATAATGTTAAGTTTATGTTTTAATTTAAGCGCTATTTCAACGAGTTAATTCAGTATACTATAACTACAGTTATTTCCACATCCTGAATTAGGTAAAACAATGAATACTGCTTTTACTAGGGATGAATATTGATAACATATTGAGTGAACTCATCGAATATTCATGTATCTAATAATGTGGTATAGATGACACGCTAATTAAAGTGCTGGTGCCTTTTTTTTTTCCCACTAAAAATGCAGAATGACCGAAAAAGTTCAGTTGATGATCGTTAAGCTTAAGAAGACAGCAATGTACTAAATAATCATTCAGTGCCGAAAATTTTATTCCTCAATTCGAAAGTATGGTTGGTTAGTGTCCTTATTTTCCTTAATCTTACTTGACCGAGCAATGCTATTTCCATGAGTTGGAGGAGTGAGAATGAGTGGAATGATCCACCCTGTCAATAAAAACAGGAGTTAGAAGCATCCTGAGTAGAGCCCACTGACAATGTAGGAAGCAGCTCACGCAGGAGGTAGCATAAGAATAAAGAAAAGGACAACGATGCAGGAGGATTTTCTCCTGAAAGCTTGGTAGGGGAAACAACCAAATCTCTGGAAACTGCTCCCATTATCGTAAAAAAAATGAACATACTTCAGATTCGGGCATTGGACCCTCCCTCCCTCACGGTATAGAGGAATCGAATGAAGGATGGAATATTGAAGAAAAAAAAATTATAATCCTATAGAGACTTTCTATAACAATTGTTTTCACTTTCGATTTCCTATCAAAGCACCAAAAGATAGTCAAAACGGAAATTATTTTCTTCACAACTCAATTGACCCATCTCAAGTTGTATGTGAAGCAGTAAAATTGTTTCGTGAAAGATTACCACGACACTTGTCATAAAAAGGAAAACAACAGAATACTTGTCAGTCCAAAACAAAGAAATCAAACTAGATGTGTGAAAGCTTGCATAATCAGAAGGGCGAATCTAACTCAACATATTGATTTGTTCTTGCCTGAAAGTAGTAGAGACAAGAGAATTTCACAGGTTTGTACTATCAAAAGCTAGTCAGGTCAGTCATGCTGCGTCAACCAACTGTCGCGAAAATAATAAAACTGGGGAAGACAACATTTCCGAGTTAATGGATAACAAGAACAGAGGACCAAAGGATATACCTTGTACAGGAAGTGTAGACTTCTCACTCAAAATGTATTTTGTGCAATAATATCGTTAGTATCAAGTTCTGCCATCTACATCAAAGCCAGCACCAGTCCAGCCAGGACCTGAAGATCTACCCTTGGGCACAGCACCAATTCCCTTTCCTTTTACTTGCAGGTTGACTTTCTTTTTACTTCTTCCTTCGCCTTCATTAGGAGGCTGTTGACTAGGTCCATTTGTCACTGCAACTTTCTGACCATTACTTTGGTTGGGAACACTCTCGGCCGATCCCCCACTTGATTCCCTTGCATTGGGAACAGAGGAACCATCTTGCGTTGTACTATCCTGAGAAGAGCTTCCTGATCTCCCATCCTAACAAAATTCAAGTGCATAATTTTAGCATTTACAGGTGTAAAATGAATATGGATATGCAAGAGCATGTATACTGGGGCTAGCATCATGCATCTGACACACTCAAACAAATTATGCAGGATAGTCTAAATGTAGAATCAACAATATAGCGAAACTGTGAAATAAATGGACAATATTTTCAGTAGGGAAGCCAGAAAAAGCCAGCAGATTTTCATTTTTCAAACAACCTAATTTCACAATCCCAAAAAGTTTAATTAGGAATTCCAAATACTTAAGTGGAATATTATCAGTTTCCTAGCAGGATGCCTTATAGATGAAGCTCACAAGATAGAGTTATAAGTTCCAACAACAGTTGAGTCATTAAGGCACTTGCTCGGGAATGTGCCTACTGCACAATAAGGGATGCAGAGCATACACCCCAGAATTATGTTGGGCTTCCTCTTTCAATGCTAAGACCAAGCCCATTGAGGGGTTTCTTAAAACCCTAAACCCTAGATTCTTGAACCTTCCCACCTCTTCTATATATTCATTAGTTGTGGGTGGAGGCTAGGTTAGATGATTTGAGAGACTCTTGAGTGACACTTGAGAGATTTGTAAGTAAAGCTTTGAGCTTTGCATTTGAGAGACCTCTAGAGAGAGTTTCAGTGAAACATCTCTAGGAAAATTTGACTATCACCATTGTTGGAGAGGTTGAGTGAACCACTACTTTGGTGAAGCTTGATTCTTTGTACCAATTATTATCATAGTGGACGTTTGAACTGGACTAGGTCCCATGAATTTTTACTTCTTCACATTGAAGAAGGTTTTCCCACGTTAAAATCTGTTTATTCTCTCTCTCCTCTGTGTTTTTTCGTTTTTCCGCTGCACCGGCCGACCAGTGGATACATGCCGACTTCTGATTGAAGAGCCGAGCTTCTGATTGAAGAGCCGAGCTCTTAGCTCGACGTTTGACTTCCGCAAAGGCTTCAGAGCCGAGTTGAGGAAACCGAGTTCCCAACAAATTAGATGCATAGTTTAGAAGCTACCATTAAATATATAAAGCTAATATTGATTAATACAGTGAGAAAAACATACATGATAGAGATTAGTTGATGCACGACTTGGATTCAAAGCTTCCAATCGTCTTTTTAATTCCTCCAGCCGAGAAAACTGAGAGCTACCACTCTCTTGAACCTACATAAGATTATTGGTATCAAACAACCAGCTAAAAAGTAGTATTATATCTTCATTTAACAATTTTTTACCAGATTGCTCAAGTCTTCACATAGCTTTTGCTTTGTTGCTTCCTCATCCGTAACTAATTTTGATGCTGCTTCCCACGCCTGCAGTACAAACATTCAAGATATCAACAACATTTGAAAACGTACTTAGCGATACATTTTAGTAGATCAAATCTCCTACCCTCATCCATAACTTAGCGATACATTTTAGTAGATCAAATCTCCTACACTCATCCATATAAGTTATGCTCTAGACAGCATTTATTAATATGGCATCCATAGTGATTTTTGGTGTTTAGCTTCATAATTTGAACATAAGACTGCGAGAAGAGCAAAAGAATAACCAGTCAATTCAATTTTTGTTCAAAAAATTCATGGTTCAGAAATCTTATTTTTAATTAATAAAGTCTTCCTCTTTCAACAAACACAGAGAAAATTAAAGGGGGAAAACCATTTCCGTAAAATTAAGTAAAACTTTCTGTTATTCACTACGATCAAATGAGTTTCTTATCACAATTCACAAATTTACATGCGCTTGATGGGTATGTGAAGAACCTTGGGATACACCACCCCAAAAGCTAGCTCAAAGGGTGAGAGTGCCCAAGGCCTTATAAACTCCACATTAGTTGCACATCTAACCAATGTGGGACTATATATCTCAACACTCCCCCTCACACAAGAGCCCATTGGGCTTGAAGAGTGGACAATGCAACAGGCCCAGCCTACCTGTGTTAAGAAACGCCACAAGAAAAAGTGGGGGGCGGCGAGGCTCTGATACCATGTGAAGAACCTTGGGATACACCACCCCAAAAGCTAGCTCAAAGAGTGAGAGTGCCCAAGGCCTTATAAACTCCACATTAGTTGCACATCTAACCAATGTGGGACTATATATCTCAACAGGGTAAAATGCTTCAAAAATGTTATCTCCAATTTTTGTGACCATTATTGAGTAAGAGTATATTTTCATTCACTGCTTTAACTTTTAATTCTAGAAGCCTATTCAGTTCATATGAAGATGAATGTGCACAGTGTGCCAGCAAGTCAAAATTGCTATTATTCATATCAACATAAAAATAAATCTACCCTTTGAATAATTCATTCAAGCAGTAAATAGTCCTCAAAAGAGTTTATTAAATTATATTTCCTAATTATCTATTCCAGCAACTTTGTTGAGCTGATATAAACTCAAGATCTGAAGTCACACAGTAAGCAGTACAGCAGGTAGTGGCACTTCATAATGCAGTAGATAGCAGTAGCACCAATACCACTAAAATATTGATATTACGAAAACAGCAGGAGAAAATCAAAGTAATATACCTTCCGTGCCTGTTCCTCCTTTAGCTTGGCCACACGAATTCTCTCTGTTGATTCCTCTATTTTCTTTCTCAAAAGTTCAAGGGCTTAAAATATGCATCACGTATAAAGTAAAGCAAAGTCATTTCACTATAACAACCAGGGAACAACAACCTGTTGAGAATGTGCTTCCTTCTCATTTAATACAACCATTTTAAATTTATGCCAAAAGGAGCAACATGATATATAGAAACCTGCTTTTTTTGGCCCAGCTGTAAGTTTCACCTCCAGGTTAAGATTTGCAAGCTCACGCTCCACATCACGTATTTTAGAATAGTTTTCTTGAATGTATCTGAGAAAAAAAAGCGTGGGGGAGGGGGGGAGATTAAGATGATTGAGTCCAGCTACTTGATTGTCTACAAAAACTATTCAATGACAATAAACAGAAGCCTCTTTCTAGATTGCAGGCAATCAGATGCATGTTGCATTCTTCAATCTTCATTGATCACTTCATGCAATATGGAGAAAAGGGATTAAGGGACATTCAGAACTACCCAGGATCATGCTTTTAACAATAGAGCATTTATTTACCGGTTTCTATTATTCATAAGATTAATTGCTCAAATCCCAAAAGTATTAGTTCGATAATAGAGAAACTAAGGATATTCCTCTTCCTCGATCTCAACCAACTGATTGGCTTTAAACCCAAAACATAGTTCTAACTTCATTATCTATATACTTCATACTAAATTACAAGTTTAGCACAGTGAAATCACACCAAGATTTTTCGTTTTTCTTTTTTGAAAAAAGAAAAAGAAAAAACCAATTTCCAAATTCCAAGGTATACACAAGTTCCACCACTACCTACTTTGTAGTATATCGATGAAATGGATCCTCTCATGTGAAAAAGTGGTCATATTATTTGATCACAACCACTCATTGATGATGAGATAAGAGAGAGAAAAATGTATAATTTTTAAATGAGTGATTGTGATCAAATAACATGACCACATGACCACTTTTTCACATGAGATGATCAATTCCCTTCCACTGGTGCTTTAAGTTTAATGAATATCATAATTCATAAAAAATATTATTTCTTCATTCCTTCCTCATCCCAATTGAATCTCTCACAATCATGGACCTTAAAACATCCACACTATCATCCCAACAAAGAATATCCGCTTGCAGTCATCTCCTAGGTTCGTATAGGTACCGATGCCAACTCTACGTCTTACATTGCAACGAGAATTGTAAAGAACCTTGGGATACACCACCCCAAAAGCTAGCTCAAGGGGTGGGAGTGCCCAAGGCCTTAAAAAGGCCATATTAGTTGCCCATCTAATCAATGTGGGACTATATATCTCAACACGCCGGCCCATTTTTGGTTTACCTTTTTGTGTTTTTTATTTATTTATTTTAATTCCACTTTTTAAAGCGGAGGACGGTGAGGCTCTGATACCATGTAAAGAACCTTGGGATACACACCCCAAAAGCTAGCTCAAGGGGTAGGAGTGCCCAAGGCCTTATAAAGACCATATTAGTTGCTTATCTAATCAATGTGGGACTATATATCTCAACAAGAATCATAGGATTACACAATTTCATTCTAAAGTCTCCAATTTCTTCTTCGAAAGAAAAAAACCTCCAAATCTACATGAAAATTATATACAGAAAATCCATACATTATCCAATTTGATTTCAAATTAGAATAAAATGACCTAAATTCAAACAATGCTACAAGTGTAACCGCGTAATAACAGTTAAAAATGGAGCACAAACTCAATGGCAGATCCGAATGAACAAAAATAGAGAGAGAATTTACTTCTGTAATTGAAGTTGCTCGGCTTCAATGATCTGCAACAAGAAGAAGAAAAACAATGAAAAATCAAGTAATGATAGATTCGGGAGCGAAGAAGAGGAAAAAGGAAATAGGAATGAAGCGAACCTTCTCGGTGTAGCTGATAACAGGAGCTTCTATAGGGAGACCATCGGGTCCGATCTCAGGGCGAAATGAAGCGTTCGAAGCCATTTAGGAATCCGATCGCTGGCATTACACAACTCCGTCGTGTGCCACCGCAAGGACCGTCACCTCCGGGATTGTGATTTCCGAGCAGCGGCTTCAAACCCACCCGGTTAGACCGTCTCCACCGACGTCCGGTTCAAAAAATAACAGCGGTTTGAAGGTTTGAACCCAAAGCTAAAATGGCCAGCGTGATGGTGTTATGGTTATAGTATAGTTATCATGATTGGACCATTTAGTCCTTTTCCGTAAGCGACTCGTTTCCACATGCCTACCACGTTAGCCAAAATCACATATCGACGGATCGACTCAGAAGGAAAAGGACGATTCAGTCCTTTACATAATTTCATTATATTATAATTAGGGAGAATAGCTTCTCCTGCTACTCTAGAAGTCTATTCTCCGACCTATGACTAGAGGTGGCAAAGTGGACGGCTCTCTCCGTCTCGTTCTATCCCTCCAAAAAATGAGTCAGCCCGTCCCGCCCCGCTTTTGAAAGTGGACTGAAAAACTCAGCCTGCTCCGCCCCGGCCAGCCCCGCTTTTAAGATGGGTTAAAAAACTCAGCCCGCCCCGTTTGGCGGGTTAGCCCGCCACGCCGAACCCGTTTTGCCGACTCTACTTATGACACATTGTTTTTTTTATAATTTTTATTTATTTTTTAAATTAATATACAGTGGGATCTATTAAAAATTTATGTGGACTGGAAAAAAAAATTCCCATGAAAGGAGAAGAACAAAGCACTTATAATTATTGTATATTTTTATTTTTTGTACTTTAAGAGGCTGTTTGACACTGTTTTTTTAAGTTAGAGCTATTTTTAAAGTAAAGGTAAAAAAAATTAAAAATAAAGCTACAGGCTATTTGACAATTATATAAAAAATTAATTTAAAAGTTACTTAAAAACTATTCACTTCAAAAAAAAAGTATATATTTCAAAAAAAAATTGATACAACTTAAAAAAAGTTTTTTTTTAGAAATTTTTGGCTTTTCACTTTAAAAAAAATTATTATAAGAATTTTTGTAAATATTTATTTGACTTAACTTCTATTTATAAAAAGAAGAGAAATTAAAAAAAGAAACTTCCCTAACAAACTTTAAACATGCCGTGGAATTCATTAAAAAGGAACTAGATATTAATATGGGTTTTGTGAGATAAAGTATCTTTTTTTGGGTTTACGAAAAAATAAAAGATATTTTGAAAAAAGAATATACAAGAAAGAAATCACATCAGGTCTATTATAAGTAGTGACATTTATAAGGGAAAGAAAAAAGAATGACAGAATTCTTATTTTCAAAATGAAACTGAAGAATCAAAACAGCAATTTAAACAATGAGTAGTGACATTTATAAAGTAGATCATATACAAACCTTCTAGACGTATATATTATACCTTTACGAAATTGGGTTGATCCCATATACTAATTATGCCTTTCCGAGCAGCCTCATCTGATGGCCATAGTCTGATCTGATCATACGAGAGAATGCAACCAAAGTCTTTAGCAATTTATAAAGCAGCAAATTGAGCTGACTTGTATGGCTCGTCAATTAAGCTGATGGAACCATAATGAAATGTTTTAGCCAGTGATCAATATCATGATTATTTTGACTTAAACCAAAGGTCTTCTACGGCTCATCACATTATTATTACTTTTTAATTAATTACATAAATATTTGTGTCACACAATCAATTATTCTATATATAAATGAGTGATGTGTCCAAGTACTCCCTAAAAAAATGAAGGATGTGTCGCGTAAACAAAGTCTACACAAGTCTCTTTCAAATATATATATATATATATATATATATATATATAAAAATCACTTTAGATAAGATTATCTACAGCTATCCCAAAAACTACGTCATTTTGATTAATGAAAGATTTTTCTGTAATTTTAGGTGAATTAATAAGAGTATATATATATATATATATGTGTGTGTGTGTGTGTGTGTGTGTGTGTGTGTGTGTGGGGGGGGGGGGGGTAAAAATTTCTACAGCCACTTTAGATAAGATTATCTACAGTTACCACAAAAATTACGTCGTTTTGATTAATGAAGGGTGTTTCGGTAATTTTAGGTGATTTGATGAAGGTTGTTTTCGTAATTTTGTTTATTTTTTACCATATACATTTTATTAAAACATCCTTCACTAATTGGCCTAAAATTACAGAAAAATCCTTCATTAATCAAAACGGCGTAGTTTTTGGATAGCTGTAGATAAATTTATCTAAAGTGACTTTAAAAATGTTTACCCCACATATATATATATATATATATATATATATGTTTTCGTAATTTTATTTATTTTTTTATCATATACATTTTACTACAACACCCTTCATTAATTCACCTAAAATTACAGAAAAAACCCTTCATTAATCAAAACGACGTAGTTTTTGGATAGTTGTAGAAAACTTCATCTAAAGTGGCTGTAGAAATATTTTTCTATATATATATAGTTTTAATGTTTCTATAGTGAATATAAATAAGTTATTAACATTCACTCCTAAAACGATGTCGTTTTGAGTTGAAAAATTAAAAATTATAATGAGAAAGGCTATTATAACCCTGAAATAAATTATAATTATAAAAATACATTGACTTTCATCCAAAAATAACATCATTTTGGATTTAATGTAGATAATTTATCTACATTATCTGCAAAAAAGTTTAACCCTGTATGTATATACGTAAGGTTTATAAGTATCTTGTAACAGAAAATATGTCATGCAGTGGAAACAAACCATACAGATATATATATATATATATAATTCATTTTTTTTAAGTTACTTTAGATAATTTTGTCTAATGTTCACGAAATGACATTGTTTTGAGGCAAAAATCATGGTGTGTTTGTAATTTTAATTTATTTCATGATTACAATAGTCTTTATCATTCTAATTTTTTAATATTTCAACTTCAAAATGACGTTGTTTCGATAAACATCAGGCAAAAGTTATATAAATAACATTAGATAACTTTATATTTTTTCATATATATATATGAAAAATATTTCTACAGCCATTTTAGATAAGGTTATCTACAGCTACCATTTATAACTATTTCTACTGATAGTACATAGTTATAACATTAAAGTTGTTTTTTTTCTCTTTCTATGTCAGCAGACAATTTCTGAAAAGTGATTGAAGATAAACAAAAAAAAAAGTAACTTTAATATTATAACTATGTACTACCGGTAGTAGATAGTTATAAAGGGTAGCTGTAGATAACCTTATCTAAAATGGCTGTAGAAATATTTTCCCTATATATATATATATATATATGGGATTTATATTTCTGCAATTGTAGTATACGTGCAGCAGTCAAATACTTGCCATATATATACGTGAGTGCATTAAATGCGTAGAATCATAATCACAAAAAAGATGAAAGCTTTAAATGTGGGGAATCTTAACCATACACTTGTCATTGCTGTAAAGCGATTGCAAAAATGATTTTACCTATATATATATATATATATATATATATATATATATATAGAGAGAGAGAGAGAGAGAGAGCGACACCAATGTCAAATTTGAAGTTTGACACCTCGTCTCAGAGCCGTTAGATCAAAAAATATCAATGATGTCACATGCTTACAAATCAGAGTCGTTGATCTTTTTTGATATAACGCCTCTGAGATGAGGTGTCAAATTTGAAGTTTGACACCTCATTTGAGAGCCGTTAAATCAAAAAAATCAATTGTGTCACATGCTTACAAATCATAGTCGTTGATCTTTTTTTATCTAATGCCTCTCAGATTAGATGTCAAATTTTGAATTTGACACTGGTGTCAAATTTTGAATTTGACACTGGTGTCAAATTTTAAATTTTACACCTCATCTGACAGCCGTTAGATCAAAAAAGATCAATGACTCTGATTTGCAAGCATGTGACACCATTGATCTTTTCTGATCTAACGGCTGTCAGATGAGGTGTCAAATTTGAAATTTGACACTGGTTTCAAATGATCCTACCTCATATATATATATATGGAAATGCATTTGTCATGTTACATGACAAATGAATAGTTGTTATATTAGAAAAAAGACAAGTTATATAATATTAAAGAAAATGATACAGAACATTATTCAATGAATTGGTCATATTTTTTTTAATATAACAACTATTCATTTGTAATGTAACATGACAAATGCATTTTTCATATATATATGAGGTAAATATTTCTACAGCCACTATAGATAAGGTTATCTACAGCTACTCTTTATAACTATATTTTACCGGTAGTACATAGTTATAACATTAAAGTTACTTTTTCTCTCTTCAGTCACTTTTCAAAACCTGTCTGTTGACGTGGAGAGAGAAAAAAAAGTAACTTTAATCTTGTAACTATGTACTATCGGTAGTACATAGTTATAAAAAGCAGTTGTAGATAACCTTATCTAAAGTGACTTTAGAAATATCTTTTCCTATATGTGTGTGTGTATAGGGCTTATCGTTTTTCAAGCTGCTTGAGGCAATTTTATCTCCGGCTACTAAATCATACTCGTACAAGGATGAATCAATGGTGATAAAGGAAGAGAGATAAAAAAGAAATCATAACCATTTAAAGGTGAATCAATTAATATAAGGAAATAAATAAATAAAACGACATAGTTTTGGGGTGGCCGGAGATAAACTTATCTTAAGTTGGCGGAGAAATATTTTTCCTATATATATATATATATATAGGGGTTTAGATTTCTACAGCTATTGTACGTGCAACAATCAAATATTTGCCCTAATATACTTGAAAGCATTAAATGTGGGGAATCATAACCATACAAAAGATGAAAGCATTAAATGTGGCGAATCATAACCATACGCATGTAGTCGCTGTACATAAAGAGGCTGCAGAAATAATTTTACCATATATATTAGGGTTGGCAAAACGGGCCAACCCGACCCAACCCGCATTCAACCCGAAAAAAACGAATCGGGTTAGGGTTAGCTCGAAAAAAATCGAGTCAGAAAACCCAACCCAACCCGACCCGAGTCGGGTTAGGGTTGGCTCGCGGGTTGGATAAAAAATATGGCTCGTGGGTTGGCTTGAAAAAATAGCTCGCGAGTTGGCTCGAAAATTGGCTCGCGGTTTGGCTCTAAAATTGCTAACGAGTTGGCTCGTTTTCAGCCTATTTAAATGACCCTGTAGTATTAATGCACCTACTATGTGGCTTCCATTAGCTTAAACAAAGTGTTGCAAAATGATAAATAAAATCAAAATATTTTAATTTCAAATTTTCTTCACAACAAATTTGCATCAACATTCAGAAACAATCAGAACCACTTGCTACCAAGTGGGTAAGATATTTGAACCAAACAGAGCCAGCACAGTCTAACAATATAAAAATGGCATAGATGTGAGAAGAATAGGGACTTAGGTTTAGAGAAGGAAGAAAAATGATGATAACATGTGTGGATTTTGTCCATTTTTGTATATTATATTTTGTATTTTTTTATATAAAAAAAAAACTCAACCCGCGAGCTGGCTCGTTTGATCCGCGGGTTGACTCGTTTTTTCATGGGTTGAAACGAGTCGGGTTGGCTCGGGTTGGCAGCTCGTTTTTGCCAACCCAACCTGGCTCATTTTTGGCGGGTTACGAGTCAACCCGACCGGTTGGCTCGTTTTTGCCAACCCTAATATATATATAGGGTTTATTTTTTCTGCAGTAAGCCCAATACGACGTCGTTTTGAGGCAAAAATCATGGTGTTTTTGTAATTTTAATTTATTTCAGGTTAATATAGTTTTATAATTATAATTTTCTAATCTTTTGATCCCAAAACGATGTCGTTTTGGAAGAAAATGCAGATAACTTATCTGCATTAACTGCAGAAATATTTTTCTGGTATATATATATATATAGAGGTAGGATCCTTTGATACCGGTGTCAAATTTAAAGTTTGACACCTCATCTGAGAGCCGTTAGATCGAAAAAGATCAACGACTCTAATTTGTAAGCATGTGATACCATTGATCTTTTTCGATCTAACGGCTCTCAGATGAGGTATTAAACTTTAAATTTGATATCGGTATCAAAGGATCCTACCCTATATATATATATATATATATATATATATATATATATATATATATATATATATATAAGGCTTATCGTTTCTCAAGCTGCTTGACATAATTTTATCTCCGGCTACTAAATCATGATCGTACAAAGATGAATCAATGGTGATAAAGGAAGAGAGAGAGAGAAAAAGGGAATCATAACCATTCAAAGGTGAATCAATTAATATAAGAAAATAAATAAACAAAACGACGTAGTTTTGGAGTGGCTAGAGATAAAATTATCTCAAGTTGTCGGAGATATATTTTTTTCATATATATATATATATATATATATATATATATATATATATATATATATATATATATATATATATATGGGCATAATTCTTTAACACTGGTGTAAAAAAAAGGGTCATTAGATCAAGGCAGATCAATGGTGTCACATGCTTACGAATTAGAGTCGTTAGATCAAGACAATACGAGGTGTCAAACTTTTAATTTGTTTGACATTAGTGTCAAATGACTGTGTGTGTATATATATATATATATTTTTTTTCTCTCTTTTTTTTGTAATAATATATATATTTTACTCACTTGATATATATATATATATATATATATATATATATATATATATATTTCAAGTGAGTAAAATATGTAGCCAAATATCAATGGTTAATTATTAAGGATACCAATATCTTTAAAAAATTAAAGTAAACCGATTAACCGAAGGAATCCCCTTACTTTAAAAATCTAAAAATTAGATGCATACAAAATCAATTAAGCTTTAAGTTTTAACTTTCAAGTAGATATTTTTGAGTTTGTTGATGGCATCTGCGAATCTTAAGCCACAAGGAATAATTTTGAGCTTTAGATATATTCCTCTCTAGTGCTCTAGTATATAGTTCCATTTTAACTCTATACTTGCAACTCCAAATAACCGGTCCTATTTTTTTTATAACAAAAAAAAAAATCCAAATAACCGGGACGTAAAATACATTAGAAATGAAAAAAAAAGAAGAAGGAAAAAACATTAAAAATGTGTAGAATATATTTTGATAAGAATATTTGTCTTCATAGATATCATTTTGTCAATAAAAACAGAGTTTAATATATACAATCCACAACTGTTATTAGGTTGGCTACAGTGCAATTGAAGCCACATATTGACCTGATGACAAAAAAAGCACTTCCCTGTTGTAAATCAAAGGACTAATTCTGAGCGTCATCAATGGGCACACAACAATATTTTTGAGACTAAGAACTATATATTTGATGGATACACACACGATCATGAGCAATAAGTATATGAATATTCAAAACAGCCATCCATTGTCCTTGTTATGACTGCTTTGGCCTCGCTCAGTTCTTGTGTCTATTGTTTTTCCTTTTGAAGCAGCTTGCTGGTGCCGAAACCAGCTGCAAAGATATTTTTTAAATCAAATGTCGCACAGTTACGCTATATCATCTATATATTACATAGGAAAATTTATATCTACGATCATATATATGCATGCCAATCAGCTATAGGTCACATGCATGATGCATGCATAATTCCATATGTGATATGTACCATACGTGATGACTCATGATGAGCAGGTTTATATTGTTAGAAGGTAAAAGATGAAAGAAAAAGAAAAGAAGAACTGCATACTCTGTTTGTAATTGTATGGTTGTCCCAGATTCAAATTGATTGGCTTGTGCATCGTGCAACCCAATATGATTGTTATTGTAGACGAATGGGGTCGAATCAGTAGAATCTTCACAAATCTGGGTGCATTTATCTTTTTCCTGAAGCGGAAGTTTGATGCATATAAGTAAAAGGTCATGTCACATAAATTAATTGAATTTCAAAGCATTCCCCCAACTATATTTACATGATTATTTAAAGGAAAAACCTTGGATTCCAATTGTTTGTTAACTTCCTCCAGGTTGTGCACCTGCCAACATATAAATAATGAGAATTAATGACTAGTCATGTAATTTAAGTTGTATGTGTGAAATATATCAAATTCTAAAAATTGTAAATGTTCTGCATGCATTTTACTCATGTACATATACATTTTTATTCCTTTCGTTCATAAAATCAAACACAGGAAGAAAAGTTTTCAACATAGTTTTCAATTTGCTAAAATTAAATATGGAGAGGGATAACTTATACAATTTTCTCTTCCTTTTTTCTTTTCTTTTCTCTCTTAATTTTTTTTTTTTTTCTGCCTTCTCTTAGTGATATTAAACAAACCCTAAAGTGTCTATCAGTAAATGCAAACAAAAATGCCTCTCAGCATGCAAATTAATAAATGGAGGGTTAAAATCAAATTTCAACAGCAACCAGTCAAACACAAGCACTGCCATATATATTTGATATGCTGAATATATTTTAAGACATAATGAAGCTAGTATTGAAAATAACCTATACTCACTAATTAGTCTCCGATTTTTGGTTTGCTGGAAACATGAATCTTACAACACAGAACAGCTAGTAATTATTTTGCTTTCCATGGTTGTTTCTACTTTCTTCTCCTTTATGGCTTTATATTGTTTTCAGGTTAAATTATAAGTTGCTATTGATTTTTCTTTCAACCTATTGTTAGAGAGAACTATAATTTAAAAAGTGACACTTATTAGGAAGCGCGCATTCAACCTAAGACACTACAAGATGCAAGTGCTTTGAGAATGGGATTGGTAAGGAAAGATGAAAACTAAGACAATACAAGAGCAGGTGATGTATCAATATTATTGACAGAATTGTAAAATAGGTAACATCGACAAAAATTCACAACACGGAGAAAAATCCAACAGTATAGGCTTATAGCATTTTCATTTACTGTTTTAGTAGAAATGATTGCATACCGTTTCGCGTAATTCGTTAACTCGTGCCATCAGCTTCTGCATCTGCAATCAAGAGACAGGATAATGGCTATTACATATCACCTACATAGTGATTTCGTTGTGTGTCGCTTATTTAACAATATTTTCAGTTAAACTTTCTTTGATCTATTGCGACAATTTAGCATGCACATTGGTAGATTTGGGGAATAAAAAATAGATTGCATGCAAAAGAAGAAATTAAAATGTAAGAAGTTGAAAGTAGCTAGAGTGCAACTTATTTATATCGCACCATTTCGATCAAAGTGAGTACTTGAAAGTATGTTCCAATGATCTACCAAACAAGAATGAAGGAAAATCTAAGCTTCTCTCTATCTCACTCAAGTTTCAAATCCCCATTCCCTTTTTTCCACCAATCCCTCACGTAATTAAGCAAGCATCCTAATTGTTTATTAAGAGCATTTGTCACTTAAATATTTCATCTGTTTCAATCGGAGTTTATATGTTTATTAAGTTACTCAAAATAAGTGCCAATTATATACGTACATGGTGCTGTCGAGCTTGTGCAAGCGTTTTGTCCAGTTGTTTCTCTAGACTCTGCAATTGTTTCATGCTAAGTGGCTCAAGTTCTTCTCCTAGAAAATTCCTTCAAACACAAAGAGAAACAATATAAATTAGAGTCCTAAAACTTGGACAAAAGTTTTTTTTTTTTTTTTCTGTGTCTACTCTTCTGAATTTTTACCTTTGTGTCCGCTCAAGAGCTTCATGCTTGACTCTTAATATCGAAAGCTCCTCGTATAAGCTCTGCAGTGCAGGACAATGTTAAAGGAGTAAAATGCTAGAAGCATCTATGCAAAGAAGCAATTGCAAACTTGGTGTTTTTATCTTGAGTAACTGAAAAGCTTTGCCATATTTATTTATTTCCTCCGTTATTTATTTTATTAAGAGAATAGTTACAAGCAGTTAAAATCGAAATTTTATGTAAAATTGAAAGAAAGATAAAAAATTATAAAATATAAAATCATAACTAAAAAAATTGTAAAAGCTTAAAAGCTTTTGAAATATTGGTATAAAAAATTGATAAAAAAATCGTAAAAACATAAAATCATACTGATAAATCGAGATTTAACTGCCCTGAAACAGGTGAAAAAGAGAAAACCTGTGACTGATGTTCAACTAAGTCGCCAGTTTTAGACATGTTGAAGCAACATTGACGATACTTCTCAATTATTCTGTTCATGCTGATCAGAATGAACAAGTATATTATTGGATACAGTGGTTCATGCATGATATAATTAATGATAATTAGAATAGTAACATACTAACAATTATATAAAGTGAAAAATTATTCAAAAAGTTCAGATTAGCTCTTTTTAATAAAAAATAAAAAATAAAAGTTTTGCTAGAAAGAAACCAGATGGAGATCTCCCATCGTTTAAGGTACATATATGGATGTAAATCTTTGAAAAACTGATTTAAGCTAAGTACTAACGTTATTTGCATTATTAAAATTTATTAGGCCACTTTTTATATAGAATCAGTCGTCTGAGCAGCAAAAGACCAATTAATCCTTGTGAAGATTTTATACTTGTGTAAACATTACTTTGCAACTTTGGACAAGGGACATCCAATAAGCCAACTGTAAAAGCAACACTGTAGAAGAATGTTTGATTAAAACACTATTTGTTGTTTCCATAAGAACTTTAGTGTTTCATCAATATTTAGTAAATATACTTAGAATTGGAAAAGACGGAAGAGACATTTACAACAAATATATATTGCCATAGTATAATTTTCAAAACATCTTTAGACAACTTTTAGTTGAAAAGCCGTTTTGTTTCATTAAGTGTGTTTAGATTCACTTTTTAAAAAAGTTACTTTTATGTCTTACTTATTTTAAAAGTGCTTTTTATAAAAGTTAAGACTATTCAAATTTTTAAAATAATATTTATTTTTCGAAAAAAAATTAACTTTTGACTTTTGTTTTTTTGAGAAGTTAAAATTTTTAGTTTATGAAAAAAGTAAATTTTTAGCTTTTTTTTATGACTTCTGCTTTTTTTAGAAACAGCATTCAAATATACTTTAAATTAAAAGTGCTTTTTTTGAGAAAAAAAATAACTTCTGACTAAAAAAAAATCATCCAAACGAGAAATATGAAAGGAGGCGCACAATACCATGTTATAAAAGAAGATATGACAACCGATGGAATGTTTTAAAAAAAAGAGAGGATATGACTTTTGAGAATCATTAAAGGATGCTTTAGAGGTTGATTGATTTGCTACAATAAAAATTCATAAAATGAAGAAAATAAGATTTGTTCAAAATTTATTCAAGAAAGCTTTGGTTGTAACACCTGTTTCAGTAAATTAGACATTTTCTTTACAAACTGGGATTGACCTAAACTTTATGGTTTTCGAAAGATAGGAACGTGATGTGCCACAAGTTGTTAATATTAGAATATTTAGTAGGTTGATTGAATATTCGGTTAACATTACATATAAATGAGAATAGGTAGTTGGGTTCTAGGACACACAACAGTTTAATTTTTTTTTTTCCAGATAAATCCAGACTCATTTTGTCAAGGGCTATTTAGTTTTTTCCGCCACTTATATTCGAACAGTGACCAAAATATTACTATTCATCAAGTTTTTTATTTAAATGTCACGCAAACAATGTTATTTTCCAATCTACCACGAGAGCAAGTTCGTTACCCAGTGTAACGAACTCGGTTTGCTGACGTGTCACGTTTCTAGTGGACACCAAGTTCGCTACCCAATGTAACGAACTCCATCCTTTTATTTTTTTAACTTGGTACTTGTTATCTACTAGAAATGTGACACATCAGCAAACCGAGTTCGCTACACCGGGTAGCGAACTTACCCCATGACAGATTGAGAAATAATATTGTTCGCGTGGCATTTAAATAAAAAATTTGGTCTGACATTTTAGTCCATGTTCCATTTATATTGGGAATAGGATAGTTATTATCCTAAAGTATTTGAGTGATAAAAATGGTGCAATATTGACCTTCAGGTAAACATTCATGATCATCCCATCTCTAATATTGTTTCTTTTTTTATATAAAATTTTTTCGGATACTTATATTTCGACATCTTTGATAAACCCAATAACATATGCTATCTAAAAGATTTGAACACGAGACTCTCCAACATAACTTAAGTATATGGTGAAATATTTGAACCGTATATAAAAATCATACTAATATAGTTAATTAATATTAAGTTTTCTAGTTAACAAATTTGAGAATAATAATTTGACAGTGTGCGATTAAAAGAATTTGAAATTAATAAGCAAGTTTGTTCCAGTTTTTACAAAGTCTATATAGCTAGATTTACAAGGAGACTCGGTTTAATGATAAAATATTACAAAAGAAATTTAATTAAGAATTTTCCATTTGCCTCCTAATTAACTTCCCAACCCTAGTATCTTGAAACAAACAACATGAATTACTATTTGAACCATAACTTTTTTATTATATACGAACCCTTAATAAAGAAGGAAAAGGAAAGAAGCTAGGAGTCAACAGCTACAAAAAAAGGATCATGCTTACCCAAACAAAGAGCCTTTATCCTTTGTACCAAAAAAAAGAAAAAGAGCCTCTACCCTACAGGAACGACCTATTTATCCTAATGTATGGGGTGGGAAAGAAAATCTGGCGACTAAAACTGAAAGAGTAGCTTTACTCACCTACTCTGAAGTCTGAAAGAAACATCTAACCCTATAGCAAAAGCTACTCAGCTGCTTTAAAAAAAAGAATTACCACCCTCTCCAGACAGGTTTAAAAAATAATAATATTTGAAAAAAGATTAATTATTAAAAAAAAGTATTAGTTATTTAGTTTAACTTTTTTTGAGAAAAAAAATATTGTGACATACTTAATTAAACTTTAACAAGATAAACATACTTCCTTTCTTCTTCTTCTTCTTATTTTTTTTGTAGGCAAACATACTTCCTTTCTAATAAACAAACTTATCAGATTGACCATTGGGCTTTGAATACTAATAATTTCAATTTATGAGTTAAAATATGTTTCCCAAAATAAAATTTAGATTACCGATGACGGTATAATTTCTAAATAATATTTTTTTTTTTAAAGAAACAAGCAGATCTGCATGGCTATAAATCATGAGTCTTTTAATACGAAAACAGTATGTAGGACCGGTCGTACACTGTGTGATTAATGTAGGACCGGTCTTACATAGTGTAATTTGTAAACAAAAAAAATTGTAAATATAATCTGCTATTTTCTCCTAACACATTTTTTTTTTAATCATGATAATCACATATGTGGATCCCATCGAAAGTTAATATTTTCTACAAGTGGATATTTAGTATGCTACTATTGAAATACTACTTCAGGTGAGTGTTTCGTTCAGCTGAAAAAGCGTCTGTTCTTAATTCTTAATATGGAAAGCATGATTCAGAAGATAAAGAGCATGAGAATTGAGAAAAAAAGATATATAATCCTCTCAAATATATCCATGTGAACATATATATATATATCAGTCCCTGATGGAATATTTTTAACTATAAAAATATAAATCATGATTTCAAATCACAAAAAAATAGTTAAATTTATAAATCTTCAAGTATAACAGAAAGGATGTTTGTAAATGAAATACATTCTTACAATAAGAATATTGGAAACTAGTTTGCAAGAATTCATTTAATTATAAATGTAAAAAAAATTAATTCCTTTATTTTTGACGTTCCAAACTCATAATTATTCTTCAACAAATTACTCTACCCCCAGTTGCAAGCTGGGCTCAAATTTGAACTCGGGTCAAAAAAATTACATGGATATTTTTTTTCTTAATTTTAGTTAGTTCATATCATAACATATTTAAATTATATTAAATACAGAATCTCTGAGCAAGCAGTAGTAAGAAAAGTTATAATTTTATTAAATATTTTTAAATTTTACTAAAAATAATTTATTTTTTTATACAAGTAGAAACTAGACACATAACCTAATACAATTTACCTAAATCTTTCACCAAAAATATTTTAAATTTTACATAAAACCAAATTACAAATTATAGCTTGAACCAAATTATAATTTTAATTCGAATCAAATTATGATTAATTATATAATTATATATAATACATATAATTTATTAAAATTTAATCTGGGCCGAAGCACATCCAAAATACATGTGGCTGCATCACTCTACCCCCTTCTCTTTAATTGATATACGGAAGACAGTGATGGTATTAATTGCGACAGGAACGAAGACTAAGGCTAGAAGACATTGTCTTTTTTGTTTTAATGGTACAAAAGGTGCAGGGAAATTGAACAAGTAGAAGAAAAAAACTAGGTAGAAGAAAAGAAGGAAATAAAGAATTTAAAGTTTAAAAACGCAAAAGAGATATATTAGAGAGGATGAGTGAGATGGAACATTACTCAGTGCTACTGTACTGAAAAAGCTTGCCACGGCTAGAGAAGATGATAAGAGCGATTTCAGCATCGCATAGGACAGATAGCTCGAAGGCTTTCTTCAGCAAACCACTCCTGCGCTTTGAGAAGGTTACTTGGCGATTGATCTTGTTCTGTATTCTCTCCAGAACCACCCTCCCTCTTCCCATGCTTCCTTTCTCTTTCTCTCTTTCTGGCTTGCTATTAATTACACTCTCTCCGTTCTCTCTTTATATCTTCAACTGACTGCAGGGACAGAGAAAGTCACATGCATAAGCGTCAGAGACAGCATATAATAATGACAAGACTCCATTTGTTCCCTCTGTCTTCAAATTGACCACTCTTTTCTCCGTTATATCTTGATAAGGAATCCTCGTAAAACAAAAGGTGTTCTCCAATTTACTAATAACTAAAAAGAAATGGTATAAATATGCAAATGAATTTCTTTTATGTGACATGAGCTCACCACATAAAATTGATTCCAATTGTCTATGTACAAATCACTAACCCTATTTATTTTTTGATTAAATACCTTTTTTGATTGCTGACAATATTTATGAAATTCTTTTTAGTCTCTAGCAATAAAAAAGGACCAAATTGGTCCCTAACAGTATGCAAAAAGGGCCACGTTAGTGACGGAGGAGTTGACATAAGGACTAATGTGGTCCTTTTTTTATAATTTTAGGGACCAATTTGTCCTTTTTTATTGTCAGGGACTAAAAAAGATTTCGTAGATATTGCCAAAGACCAAAAAGGGTGTTTACTCTTTTTTTTTTATCTTAATACGCTTTCCAAAAAATACTAATTTGTCAATATTGATGAGATATTATTCATCGGTCTTCACTTTTAGATTAAACTTTTGGGGGGCGTTTGGTACAGAAGAAATTTTTTTTTTTTGCCGGGAATCTCAATTTTTAAAAATATGATTTTTACATTCAGTTTATAATAATATCTGTAATTTTAAAATTTAAAAAAATTCAGTTTCCAAGAATCCCGCGTACCAAACACCCCCTGGGATGACGAGACTGTGAAACTTAAAAAGCAGTGGTAAGATTTTTTCTTAATGACTGAAATATTTGAGAAAAAACTTTTTTGTAAAAAAATACAAGAACAAAATTGCGTATTATTGATCATCATCATCCTTATCGTCACAAATTATAGAGTCTTGTAGAGATGTGCATGGAGCGGTTCGGTTCGATTTTTTTCAAAAATCAAACCGAATCAGTTTTAAATGGTTTGATTTTCAAACCGAATCGATTTTATATTTTAAAAACTGATTTTAATTTTCCCAAACCGGTTTGAAACCAGTTCCAAAATCAGTTTATGAATTATAAACAGTTTTGATTGAAAACCGATTTTGAACCGATTTTAATTCAAAACCGGTTTTGAATCAAAAACCAGTTATCAAATTAAAACCGATTTTGTAACAAATTTAAAACTGGTTTTTGATGAGTTGTGTTTTTTTTAAAATAAAATAAATTAATTAATAAAATAAAACATCAAATATTATATCTAAGGGTTTATCACTTATCATTTAACATGACCACAAAAAGTTTCCTACACACACAACATTTTGTGGGGCCCGCAGCAAAAAAAAAACTTTGGCACGCAAAACGAATCTCTATAACATAACACAATCATTTTTCCTACAACATAACTCTTATGAAACCCTATATCTAAACACCATTTCATACTTAATAGTAACTGTCTCTTCCATATTTGAAATGGTTTCCATATCAATCATAGACACACACTATATTCGATAATACTAGGATACCCAGTGATAGTTTTAGCTTTTTTTTAGTTATCTTATATATTTTTAAATCAATACAGATGGATATTACAACAATTACTTCTATAATGACTAATGCTCACTTATGAAATATTAGCTTTATTATAATTTAAGATTTTATATGTATTTGTGAATTTTATATATTAACCGTGTGTATGAGAAGTTATTGTATTCATTGTGTAATTTGTGTTTGTATCCAGCCTAAAAAATATTTCCTCAAATGATACATCAAAATCATTCTGTAGCTTCTACACTTAACAGAAAAATTCAAGGGGTGAAGAACAAATCATTCATATTACTATAAGCTCTAGCAGACAAAACAATTGAAGTTCCATAAACCAAGTTTTCACGCAGCATAAAAAATATAATGAATATTTTTTAGCACAAAAGAATGTAAATGGGTGTATGAATACTTTTTGACCCGAGTAGGATCTGATGCCAGACAAACTGTTGGAAGTTCGATTTTGTTGTCAAACTCAACAATTATTTAAAATTAAAAAAAATGGATATGATTTGGTTATCCAGTGTATCCAAACCATTTGATAAATGGATAACCAAACCATATTTAAAATTAAAAAGTGGATATATTTTTTAACCGATTTTTTAATTTGGCTTGGTTTTTAATTTGATTTGGATCAATTGGACATTTTGCACATTCCTAGAGTCTTGTGTATCGTGGTTTGCCCATTTATTGGATTTTATCTTTTCTAAAATGATGACATGAATTTATTTACATAAATTAATTTTTCACATAATTAATAAAACTCTTACTCTATCTAATTTTTTTAGAAAAATATAAAAACTATTGATATGCTTTCACTTCTAAGCTTAATCTTTTAATGAGATGATAGATTATCATGGTATTAGAGCCAAGGTGACAAGGAACGAGTTCGATCATCACTACCCTCCACTTTTTAGTGAAATTTAAGTTAACACAAGGTACAATCGAAAAAATGGGTATATATATGTAAGATTCATGCTTTAAGCCCAAATGAATTTTTCATGATATTGGAGAATGAGAAGGAATCTTCCACGCCAGCACATGTGTAACTGTATCAGTTAGTTGGTTAGGAAACAAACATGTTTTTCTGTGTTTGGTTTTTCTGTTATGAAGTGTCTTTTGCATTACCTTTAGATAGACTTCACTTCTCTGATATATAAAGAGATTGAGAACTCAGATTAAGATAGATGTAAATTTTCACTGTTTATGAAAATACATGAGGAATTTCATTATGGTATCAAAGCTCTAAATTGGAGCTCTGATATCACAAGAGAGAGACACGAGTGTTCTTGGTAGTTCTTCATCATGGAGCACGAAGTTTCGAGTACAGAGAATGAAACAGAGAAGGAAGCTTTTGCAACGCTGCAACCTTATGGATCACATCACAATCAGCTACCTGATTTTCATACAAATCCATCAAATCCGTTCTTCTTACATCCGAATGAATCTCCTTCATCAGTGCTGGTTTCTCCATTACTTAATGCAAATAACTATCATACGTGGGCCAGAGCAATGTCAATGGCTCTTATTTCTAAAAATAAGATTGGATTCATCAATGGAACCATAATTCCACCGCTCGAGATAGATCCGGATTACTTCGCTTGGCAAAAATGTAACAATATGGTAGTTGCTTGGATTCATAAATCCACATCACAATCTATTGTGCAATCGATCATTTGGATAGAGAACGCTCATGATGTGGCTGGATCTACAGAGGAGGTTTTCAAGATTATATGTGTTTCGTATTTCTGATCTTCAAGAAGAGATCTATAGATTACACCAGGGAGAAAATAATGTTACTGAATATTTCACAGAATTGAAGACACTGTGTGATGAACTTGATAACCTCAAACCGCTTCCGATGTGCAAGTGCAATGTTTGTTGTTCCTATGGTGGATATGCAAAGATGAGAGAGTATCGTGAGCGTGATCACATGATTCGGTTCCTCAAAGGTTTGAATGATTAATATTCACAAGTAAGGTCTCAGATTATGCTAATTGATTCATCGCCTGATGTTACTAGAGCCTTTGCTATGATTGTTCAACAAGAAATACAATTTTAAGGTGAAATTCGTATCTCAAATCCTACGAGCTCTCAAGCTTTCGCTGTTATGCATGGAAGAAATCCTGGTGGTTCATCTCTCAATAATTATGGTGGACGTGGTTCGTTTTCTGGATCTAGAGGAAGAGTTCGTGGTCCAAGTGACAATTATAGTGGACGTGGTTCATCTCTCAACAATTATGGTGGACGAGGCACAATAAATAAATTGCGTACACACTGTGGAAGATCAAATCATACAGTGGACACGTGTTTCCATGTCCATGGAATTCCACCAGGATTCAGGTCCAGTAACGATATTAATCATAGTACCAACAGTGTGGTTCAAGACACCCGAAGTGAGCAGTCTGGAGTCTCATTCTCCAATGACCAATACCAGCAATTGATAAATCTGTTAGAAAGGAACAAGTCTGTTCCTAATTCACATGCCACAAATTTCACACAATTTTTGAATATGAATACAAGTCTTATGCAGCAATCTGATATCACACAGCAACCAGGTATTTTAAATGTGCATTGGATATTGGATACAGGTGCGACTGATCATGTCACATTTATAAAATCTCATTTGTTAGATTTGCAGAAAATTGAACCTGTTAGATTAGCCTACCTAATGGGGACTGTGCCTTAGCAACATACTCTGGCAATGTTCATTTATCTCCAAAGCTTGTCTTGTATAATGTCCTTTATGTCCCAAACTTTAGAGTGAATTTGATATCAGTCATAAAACTCTTAAATATTATCTTATGTACCTTACATTTCTGTGGTTCAATGTGTCATATCTAGGAGATTCATTCCCGGGTGAGGATTGGTATAGCTGAGCAAAGAGATGGATTATATGTGATTAATACAGGAGCTGCAGCAACTGATTACAAGACAAGTTCATAAAGTAATTGTAAAAATATGAATAGTTATACTTGAAATAAGGGTGGTTCCAGTCTATGGCACCAACGGCTAGGACATATATCAGATAATGTGATGAAAGAGATGTCTTCTAGGTTTCATTTTATTCCCTTTGTAAGTGTAAGTTCACGTGATGCATGTCATTTTGCAAAACAAAGACAATTGCCATTATGTTCCAGTGAAACACAATCTTCAAGGATTTTTCAGTTAATACATGTTGATATTTGGGGCCCTTATTATGTTGCTTCTATTGAAGGTTATAGATACTTTCTTACACTTGTTGATGACTTATCAAGATATACTTGGATTATCCTAATGAAGTATAAAAATGAAACTAGGACACATTTACAACACTTTGTTGCATATGTTGAAAATTTGTTTCACACTCATGTTGGTATGATCAGAAGTGATAATGGCTGTGAATTTTTAATGACTGCATTCTATTTGCAAAAAGGAATAATACATCAACGAAGTTGTGTTGAATGTCCTCAACAAAATGGAAGAGTTGAGAGAAAACATCAACATATACTCAATGTGGCACGTGCTATATTGTTTCAGTCCAAGGTTCCTGTACAATTATGAAATTATGCAA